TTTTGAAGTTTTCATAAAATTAAGTTCGAGGGTGTAAACATAAAAAAAATATTTATACCATGACTTTCAAAAAAAGACAAACATTTCTAAAATAATTTCATTCATTTGTGAATAAGTTCTGAAGGTTTCATTAAAATCCAACAAGTACTTGATTTTTGCAAGATTTTCCAAATCAATGTGTTTTTTCAACTGAAAACAGTGGTTACAAAAGGGACACACCTAGTTAAAACTAATTTCTTTTCAGCATTTGTTTAATATTTACGATATAAATTCTGAATCATTTTTAAGGCATTTTTCACTGACAACTTTTGTAGAATGTATGTTTTCATGCAATGATTTGTTGACAGTAAAGAATACAATGAGAATAATGTTCATTTCTGTTGGTTTATTAAATAATAGTTAATTCAATCAATATCAAATGTAGTATTCAAGACTTTCAATCATGGTTTAGAGATTCAGCAGCTAATGCACTGTGTAATACACTGTATATTTTCTTGGATTTCCACACTGCTGGGTTACAAATGTCGATTCTCTCCCTTCTGTTGAGATAGTCATGAGTTACTTGATGGCCAGAGAATGACATCAGGGGATAGAGTGATGAAGGGCAGTTGTGAGGTAGAGCCCAGAGAAGAAGGACATCCCTAGCCTACAGCAGTTGTGAGGTAGAGCCCAGAGAAGAAGGACATCCCTAGCCCACAGCAGTTGTGAGGTAGAGCCCAGAGAAGAAGGACATCCCTAGCCCACAGCAGTTGTGAGGTAGAGCCCAGAGAAGAAGGACATCCCTAGCCCACAGCAGTAGGTCTTGCAGGAAAAACCACATGGCCTAACCTGGTTCATAAAGAAACTGCTGTAACTCCAGTTTTTCCTTCAGGAAATATTATAAGTAAAATTCCCCTTTCTTACACACCATTTATTGTTGCATATATGTTATAATTTCTCTGCATGGGTTTTGTAATGTCAATGAACACTCTTTGCCAGGTTTGTAATATAAACGAATACTCGTCGCTTTCGTAATGCTCATTTTAGTAGAGACTTTGTAATCGCAGATACATATATAGGTAACGCTGTTGGACAATACTAGTGTCAGATGCCTTCAAATAACACTCACACTAATAGTACTTGCTCTATAATACTCACTCAAAAAGTAGCCACCAAATAGTGATCCAAATAGTAATCTATATAGTGAACACTTAGACGCCACATTAATACCCATATATACATTTCCTTTACTATCACGTGACCTACTTATTCAAAATGGGATTGCCCGTGTTTGCTCTCTGGTGATCTGTGTTTAAACTCCAGTGTCAGCAGTGACACTTTATTCCAATATAACAATTGTATATGTGTATATATCTAACTTTGTGTATGACATAACATTATAAAACTCTCTCTTGTTTGTCATTTTTTTTTTCCCTTCAGCTATTCCATGACGTATGATGTTATTATATCACGGATATAAAAATACTCATAACAAGAGAAATACAAATGAGAGAATAGATCTTTCTATCATAGCTCTTCTGTTACAACACTAGATAAAAAAAATTCTTCATTTTAAATAAGGAATATAACCCCCCAGCACTGTAAAATTCCATTAATCAAGTTTGCATATGATGTATCACAGTACCATACTATTTCCAGACCAAATACATTACTAAGTTTGGAGAAAAAAAATGTCATGTTGTAGTTTACTGCTTAGATTTTTAACAATTTTGTTAGCACAAAGAATATCTTCAACTTTGGAATTTTTACAGACATGCTAAATTAAAAAAAAAAATGTCTGGATGATCAGCTACCCAATAAATTTGATCTGCCAAGCTATGTCATTTCCTTTTTGATTCAAATCTTGCTTTTTGATGTGCAGGATATTCTATATCATGAGGATAAAAATTTTGATCATCACAGACAATATTATTATTCTTATGTTGGATTCTCACATCTGTGTATACTGAATGTGCCATCTACCATCTTGCTGATCTTGAAAGCTATTTAAAGTTTTTCTATCACTTTTCCAAATAACTTTGTTCTTGCCTATATGAAGTTATCAACATGCATCAGAAAAAAAATCAGGAAAGATGATTATCATAATCCTTGTAACACAAAGTTGGAACTATTTCAGATTGTTTGGACACAAATTTATTTAAATCCCTATATATATATATATATATATATATATATATATATATATATATACACACACACACATAGGTAAGAGATCAACCCATTCACATATTTCTTTAGGAGCCATAGTTTTACAACAGCACTGGCTCAAGGAAGTGGCTTCAGATATACTTCTAACTCAATAATATTTCTTTGAAGAAAAGCTGCTTTTATATTAATTTTTCTACATTCCCAATTAAGTATAGAAGAAAACTTTTAATGTTTCTTTCCTAATGGAAAAATCACACTGTGCATTTTCCTTCTTGCCTCAAATCCATGCACCACTAATCTTGCTTTAATTTCCATGCTGTAATCTTTTTATTTTCTTATAATGACCTACCTGATTGATATAGTTGGTTATGTCATATCAGATACTTCTTTAGAAACATTGTTTTCCACTTGACTAGTTCAGTAAGCTTAGCTGTATAAACATTATATTCACTTCAACATGAAACACATATTAACATGACATTTACGCTTTCTTGAGCTGAAGTTTTACTGTTTCCAGAAGCATTTTTGTTAATATATTTCCACTGTACTCATTGACTTTTCAAAGTTTATGGCATTTATAGTAAATTCAGATTTATCATGAATATTAAAACCTGCATGATTATAGACAGTAGATTTACCAGCTCGACTAATAACTTCTGCTTCAATCCAACTGCCGCTACTTTGCGGAAGATATGTCACTTGTAACTTTTGGAAAGTTAGTTACATTTATGACATTTGTGTTTTTGTTTTATTTCATTAGAGTTATTTTATACTTTTGGTTCAATAACAAAATTTGTACTAGATATATTTTTTGTTCATTGGATAATGATACATCATTCCCATTGTGTGAAATCGTTTTTTTTTCTATTTTCAGAGTTGCATTTGAATTTTTGCCCCACATTAACTAAATAACATGTAGATAGCATGCATATAAATACTAACATATGTGAAAAACAATTTTTCTGTCTTGTTCAATACCCTTTCCTAACCTTTCTATTTGAACTTTACACTATCTATTGATATACAATATCTGCTGTTTAATACATTTTTATTTGGTGATATAGTCCTTTTTTATTTTTGCAGAACTTAAATGCTTTTCTGACAGCAAGAAGAGTATTCAAATATTTTGCAAAAAATTCATCTGCTGTTGTTTGATGATTAACACAGGAGTAAATTTGTAATTTTTCCAAATTAATATGGTGATAATCCATGCACAATCTGTAATGTTTTTAGCATTAACTGCTCATCAGTCAGTTAAGTCAGTTATGTGTCATGCATGATACATGCTTAGGCAATCGTGTATCTTTCAATACATGACTTACAAGGCAGGTTTTCTTTTTCCCCCTTCAGTAGGTTGCCATCCAAGGCTATAGAACCTGGTCTAGACCAGTTGCCATCCAGGGCTATAGAACTCAGTCTGTCCTGTTATTTACCAAAAGTTGGAGGGGAGAAGAAGAAGATTCATAACCTTTCCCAAGAGTATTATCATGTAAGTGAATGTAATGGATTCAACTGGAATTCAAACTTGGGTCTCTGATTCCTCAATTCAATTACTCCACCATGCCTACCTTTTCCATGAAATAATTTAATTATATATATATATATATATATATATATATATATATATATATATATATAATTATAGCTTTACCTGACAATGTACTGTGGTTAAATTTTTTTATTTAATTTTTCTTATGTTCCTATAATTTTCTTTTTCTCTGGACATAAACTATGTAGAAATTGTCCAAATGAACATGGCCACAATGTACTGACTGTATTTGGAAAATAAAACATTCCTATAACTCTAGATCAGTCAGTTATGTGTCATGCGTGATACATGCTTAGGCGATCATGTATCTTTTGATACATGACTGACGAGGCAGATTTTTTTCCCACATTAGGTTGCCATTTCTTTCTGCAGTAGACCAGTTGCCATCCAGGGCTATAGAACGCAGTCTGTCCTACTATTTACCCATAACTGGGGAGAGAAGAAGAGTATTCATACCTTTCCTAAGGGTATTAGCATGTAAGTAAATGCAATGGATCTGACTGGAATTCGAACTCAGCTCTCCTATTTCTCAATCCAAACTACTATCCATTACTCCACCATGCCTCCTCGAACTGCCCATACAAGAGAAAATTCAAGATCAAGATTTTGGTTTTCTACAACTGCATAGTTTCTTTTACATATTCCATTTGGCAATGAACTGAATCCAGCAGTATTCCATGCTTCAATATTCAAATTTTCCACTATATCATAATATTTTGTGTTTGCAGATCCAACAATATTGGCAGTTAAAATTTGAGGGGGGAAGTCCTTCCATCTCCAATCTAGAGGGTCATGATCTTGTCAATAATGAGGATGGCTTTTTATCATCTATGTCAGCTGTTACACTGAATCAAGTTGCAATATTTATCAAGTGCAGAAAATAAGTTCCTGTTTTTTCAGGTAAAATGTTTATTAAATTCCATAGAAAAAAAGGAATACATGTCACTGGACAGGTGGGCATTTTTCTTGTTTCCCTTAATGACAATATTTAGATTGTATCTATAAGAACCTTAGTGAAGAGACTGATAACCCCCACACAATCCATCTGGATAGAATAAGCAGGTGAATTTTTATTTTTCTCTATAAACTGAATAATTCATCATCTCACAAATTCACACAGAAATTAAACTGAATTTAAATTTCCAAACATGACAACTTTTAAGAAAAAGCATTTTTCTGAAATAATTTAATTCATTTGTAAATAAGTTCCAAAAGTTTACAGGACAGATAACCATTCTTTTATTCAATAATCAGTTTTATCTTTTATCATCATTGCAACATTATATTTTTAAATAAATCTTACCTATGTCTTCAGCTGCTGTACGCACAAGACGCCGTGCAATATAGCATGGGTTTTCCCCACCTTCAAGCATTCGAGCCATCCAGTATAGCGCAGCATTTTCATCAGAACCACGAATGGACTTTTGAAGAGCAGACACACAGTTGTAATGCTCCTCACCTAAAATAATACAAAAACAGATCTTGTCATTAATGTATATAATGAAAAATCTTTTTATAAAATATACTTTATATTGTAATGTTAAGCCATATTCAAAGTTAACAAAATATAAAGATGAATACTTTATAAAAATATAAAGCTAAATAGTTTACTTCATTATAATTTTAACTTATAATGAAAGAGATGAAATTTTTAAATTAATTAAAAAATATATTTTCAGTTTATGTAAATTCATAACAAAATAGATAATGAAAGTTTAAAACTCAATGTAACTATAACAAAAAATAATTCTATGTTAGAGCTACAGACATTTATATAATTAAGAAGGCTGAGAAATAATGGTAACAGAATTTTTTTTCTCATACTTTTCAAGTTTACTCATTTCATCTATATTCACAAACACAGTTCTCGGTGAAATCATTATTTGGAACATAACTTGCTTTAATTTATATCTGAAAGTGTCCAGCTTTTTTGATCAACAACAAACAATAGAAAGAAATGCTGCATAAAAATGTCAGATTACCATTCTTGTCATAAGCAATGTAAGATTTTTTTAAACCTTCCTTCATACAATCAACATCAATAATAATCTTGGTGTGGTCTATGTTGGTTTTATTTAATTTGGCTTCTAACAATTTGTTCTGTATTGCCAATTGAAGACTGCCAATTGCCACTCTAGCATCACCATCACATATAAAGGAAACTTCTTTAACAGCCTTCTGACTTATCCATATATTTGGCCTATGAAAATTAAAAAGGAAAAGAGATTTGATTATATAGATAAAAATTCCAAAATTAAAAAGCATTGCTGAGTAAAAATGTTTTTAAGTTAATAATTGGCTAATTTTATTTTTCCTGACGTACAGTACAATATTTGAATAAATAAAAACAAATGGAAAGGAATTGTGATAATATTTAATTGCTGTTTGTCGTCACCAGTCTTTCATCAGGAAGTTGTTGGGTTCTTTTTTTATCCTTCTATTTTGTGTTGCTCCATGTGTTTTTCCATTTTGGTCTGAATGTTTTTCTTAGATCTTGTGGGGTGGGTTCTCATCAGATCATTTGTTCAAGACTCTTAACCTCCAAAACTGTAGTGGGTTCTGCTTTGTTGTTAAAGGGCATAGATCACAAGACAGTGATAGTTCTTCTTGTCATGCTTAGTGTTATTAACATAGTGTTATTAACAGCATCACAGACAACATTGCCAAGAAAAACTTTCAGAACACCATGGGTCTGTTTGTATGTGAAGCTAGAGATATGTTTGACACTACCTCTCAGGGTTCAAGATTAACACTATCCCATTGTCCTAGGGATGACAGAACATTAGATTGGAATGAGTGGTTAGGTTTTTGGGAACAATGCCTTAGCAATACTAATTTCTTAAAGAAAAGAAAATCTTACTTCTCACCAATAAATGGATCACACACAAATAAATAAACAAAACTTAAGTGCTTCTTTTTAAACTGGTGAATGAAAACTGAATGGAAAATAAAGGTTGAATGACTTAAATTTAAATATTTGTATTATTTATCCCCAAATATGGGAAAACATGAGTATCTAATTTTAAGACTAGTTTTGCTTTAATAAACAAAGAAAATAATATTTTTATATCAATATTTAGTTAAGAAACTTGAGTGAATAATTAATAAATTAGGTCTTATCTTTTTTAATTATCATAAACTAATTTGAAAATATAAGTGAGAATCTAAAAAATGATAAAAAAAATCATGGAAAATATAGTCACATGATGTAATTGTAGATGAAAATTTTCGATGAGCATTTTGAATTGTGAATAATTGGAACGCACTAGTCTTCTTTATATAGAAAATAAATGCATTAGCATGTGATGATCTACATCACCCATACATACACAAATACAGATCATACAGCAACAAGCATTCATTGGATAATAAATCAAAACTACTTTGTAATAGGCAATTTACAAATTGCAGCAATGCGACAATTTTGTAATTGCTCTATTTTCATGTAGTCAATTTTGAGAAATAGATCCCAGAAGCTTTCTTGAGTCTCTCCAAAACACACTCACTGATTGGTCAATGCCAACCAATCAGATTGTCTACATCTAAAGAACAATTCTTCCCACGCAGTGATTCAGAGCCAATGATTACCTATATAAGCAAGAAATATTCTTAGATAATTAGTGAGATTTCAGCTTCCAAACGAATCCATGACAGTTGAAACCATGCACCAATCTTCTCACTCACACCACCACTCACATGCTGAATATTCCTTACACTCACATAATCTTTTCCTTACACAGCAAAACAGTTGAAAACATTTATTACCAGAAACTGTCACAAACTTTCTTTCAGTGAACTTTGGAATACAAATAATAGTTAAAGAGAGACAACTCTTGTTTTACTCAATGCATGACTTCTTTCACATCCTTGTTTGTACATCTTGTTAAATACATATTTTATGTGTAATGATGGCTTATCCTTTTTTCACCTCAGTTTAGTTTCCTAATCTAAGTTAAATTAATGTGGTGAAGTCTGCCACAAGCACAATTATTAAATTAAAGTACAATAAAATTTACTCTGAGCATGAAAATTAATTAATAAAAACATTTCTATTCAAAATTATTCAAGGTAATTTAACTGAAACTTGTCTTTTTTTTAAATAAAAATTACAGTAAAATTTAACTAATTTATTTTTCTATTTGTTTATTTTTAAAACTTTTAATATTTTAGCTTTTTTAATTTTTCTTAGGACATGCACTATTACAAATAAATTTCGGAATAGTGGCTGCAGGCCACAAAGGCCAGTTTAAATAGTGAATGGATGAAAATACATATTTATCACCTAAACATTTTAATGGGGTTTTTATTAGGTTACTAGCAACTATAAATGATAACAATGTTAAAAAAAAAAAAAAAAGGTTTTTGCATGATGGTGGTGAAAAAAGTTTATTTGAAGCCCTACACATCTGGAGGTGCATCCACAAATAGCTCTGACATTATCACTGAGCACCTTATGATAAAGCTTAGTGCAACCCATTCTTAATCCTTTTCCTTCTTTACAATATTCAGGAACGTTGATCAATTCAAAAATCCAACATAGAATCTATTTTTTTTTTTTTTAAATACAGCAACTTTCCAAGCCACAGCTAAGCCGACAGCCAGTAATGGAAAAAGAGAATTACTTCGGATCTGTACAGTTCATTACACAAAATCTGAATCATACAAAATTATTTTCAATCAGAAAAACTCCATTTCCTCCTGTTTTCAGATTGGCTTATCAATATAACTCTTAACCAATCAAACAATGTCTAACCTCTCAACTTTGAATTTTCCATTCTACTTTGCTACATGGCTAAGCTTAACATCAACATAACATTTCTTGAGTTTTCAAAACAGCTTATTTTTTTCAGAGAACATCTCTACCAATTTACTACTCCTGTACTTATAAGATTCTAGCTATTCCTATAAAGGTTTAAATCCTGATAATTTCAAGTAAAATAAACCTAAATTCAACCACTTAAAACCACTACCACCACCTTTGTCTTACAAACGAAAGAAAATATAACTTCACTACATAAGTGTCAAATGTTAAAAAAATAAAATGTAAGAATTTTATTTGTTTGAAATTTCAAGTGCAATGAAAAATTATTTTTAACTTTTTTAGCTTAACTATCTAAAATCCCAGTTTCAAATTAATTCATTTATAACTGAATGTATCAATAAATTTTCTTTTGTATTGATAGCTCCATCTTTATTTCCACAGACCTTCCAAGACAAATTATTCTTGTCAGTATTTTAAAAGGTGTTCCCTTAAATAAAATAAGAATCAGGATGCATAAAGCATAGGTAATATCACAAATAATTGACAGCTTCAGAAAGGAAGAAATTTTTATCCCAACATGAGAGAATACCCATAAGAGTTAAAACATTTTTGTAAGAATAAAAAATATATACTTACCTATCATCATTACTAGTCAGAAGTTCATCTATTTCTGATTCATCAGAGAAGCACCTTATACCCAAATGTTGCAAAATGTTATTTATTATGGATATTATATTTTCCACTGAGTGTTTCTCCAAAACAATCACCTTAACACGACTGAGAAGAGCAGAATTCAAATGAAACGAAGGATTTTCAGTTGTTGCTCCAAATAATATTAAGGTTCCATCTTCTACATAAGGCAACAAACTATCCTTGAAAAAAAAAAAAAAAAAAAAAAAAAATGAATGTTTAAAAGAAATCACCAACTGATGACTCAAGACTCTTTATTATTGATAAAATTAGGATACAGATACTAAAAATTCCTGATTGTCAGAAAAATTGTCTTGAGTTGTAATTCCCAATTGTGTGGTCCATTGTTTTGGAGTAGAACAGAAAATAATAACAAGACAGATTTTAAAGCCTTAAGAATTACAAACTTTTATTTCATTGAGTATACTAGATCCTAGAAGCTCTCGTGGCTATAAGTTCAATATTAAAAGATGCCAAGAACACTTGCATACATGTAATATTTCATTTATGGCACCATTTTAATATGATCACCAAAGTTAAACAATGTTCAGCCTGGTCAGTATATAGATGGGTAGATGCTTGGGAATACCAGGTGCTGTAAGCTTGGATGTGTAATGGATAATGGCTCAGATATTGTTAATCGAAGAGGCAAGTTCCAATTCCAAGTGGGTTTGTTATATTCATTCATGCATAAATACCTTTGGGAAAGGTATGAATCCACCTCTTCTCACCCCAGCTATGTTTAATTAGTAAGACTTATTATCTCAAAAAAAAAAAAAAAAAAAAAAAAAAAAAAAAAATTCTTACAATCTAAAAATATTTGCTGTCTTTAAATAACCTACAAAGGATCAATAAGCCATAGAAAGTGAATTAATGAAAACCATTTTTAATTATATTTTAGTTGTAAAATTTAGTGGTTTTCTTCTCATTGTTTCTAATTTTATTTAATTTCTCTCCATTTTAACTACATAAAAGATCCAATATTTGTTGCCAATGTTTTGAAATGACTGAACAAATTTCAATTTAATTTTTTATTCGATACTTCATAAAAATGAAAAAAAATGCAAACACAGTATGTAGAATATTATATAAAACCAACTAAAATTTAACTATTATTCAAAATAGCAATAAAGGCATGAGAACTGTAAGAATTTTCTTAAACCATGTCAATAACATTTTATGCATGAAAAAACAAGACATCTTAGCAAACACAGATCTATATAAAAGATGTCAATTGATTTTTATTTGAAATAAATTAATAGGCAAAGTTTTTTTTTATGAAAAAATTTAACTTCCTTTGATCAAGAGAAATTTAAACTCTGCTTAACATACTTGGACGTATTATGCATATCCTACTTGGTTCCAAGTGAGAAAAACATTTTAAAAAACAAATTAAATATGTCCATGGAAAGTGAGATATGCCTATGTTATTCCTGAATCATCAGAAAAAGAGATTGCAGGATTAATAATAATAATACTACTTTGTATGAATATAACTTTATACTCTTCAATTTTTAACACAAACTTTTAATGTGGCATAACCTTATCTCTAGTGTAATGAGTTGGTCGGTCAATTGAAACCCCCAAAGCGAGTGGAGGTGGGCAGGTGCGGGAACTGTGATTGGTAGCTGGCTTGTTGGTGTTTTGCATAGGTGAGTTACCAAGCTCTATGTAAAGGGCTGGAATGAGAAGGAGGTCAGTTTTCAGTCTCAGAAGTGAAGACTGTGTCTGTCGCTACAACAGCAGGAGAGAAAGAGACAAAGTCATTTATTTTTTCGTGACGCATTCCAACACATCTAGTAAGGGAAGGAGAGAGAAAAAAGACAGAAAGATAAAACAAATTTAATTGGATTTAATTTAAAGAAATCAATTTTGGGTTGCAACTGTGAGAAATCAGGGCACAGATCTAGTTTATGTTCTCCCCTTTCCACAAAAGATTTTTAATTATACACTCACTTGAAAACTGTTCTTAGCTTCAGTGATTAAAATGTATGGGTAATATTGTCAACTTGGAAAAGTTCCGATGACTTGAAGGAAAAACTTTGGCAAAAAGAGTACATCCAGGAGCAAAGGGACAGACAATGAGAAAAAAAGGATTTGCTCTGAAAGTGAAGGGATGAGAATTAAGAGAACTGAGCACTAAAGAAAAACAAAGAAAAGGAATATTTTTTTTATAGTAACAAATTCATAAATAAAAAAGCCTGTTTATTGACAGACCAAAAAGTTCATTGGTTTATTAAGTAAAAATAATGGACAATTTTTTTTTATTTTTTATTTTCTACATTCATTTTATTGAACCACATATTTACCATTTTGTTTCACTATCCTCAACCATCTTTCAGACAATTTCATAATTCCATCTTCTAAAAACAATTTTTTCTAAACAAAGAGTTCTAGTTGTCTTTTGCGGGAAACTTTTGAAATTTTTATTAAGAAATTTCTTTGAAGACCAAAACGAATAATCCAAAGCTGCAATATCTGGCGAATATGGCAGATTAGTTGTTCCAGTTAAACTGCAACAATTTTTGATTGATCATCAAATAAAAAGGAGTCTAACATTATTTTCATGGAATATTAAACTTTTTCTTTGCACTAATTTTTTGGATACTTTTCAGTGATTACTACCTTCAACTTGTTTAATAAAGAGAAGTATTTGTTTGAATCAATCATTTGGTTCTGCAGAAAGACTTAATAATAGATCATTCCCTTCCACCGTATATGCAGTATTACCTTCTTGAGATGAAATTGAGCCTTTGGTACAGTGAGTGATGATTCATTTTACTAGCTCTACAATCTTTTGCTGTAAAATATCCACTTTTCATCACCCATCACAATGAGTTTCAATAACTGAACATTTTTATTATATTTAAGTAGGGAATAAAATTTATGTTGGAATTTTTGAGATGAAGAATTATTATTATACACTCTTCTATTCAGTCTATTAAACTCATTATATACACACATTTTGACAATTTCAAGTGTCTGTCAGAAGACTTTATTCAATCCTCATAGGTAGATTGTTTTCATTCTGTTTTACAAGCTTAGGGAACCTCTTATCAGTTAATTCTCTCTAGTAAATTCTTCCAATGAACTAGAGTATATGACTTTCCCCACTACCTGACCCAGGAATTGAACTCATGACTGCCAGGAAACCAGATATGCTTTAAACAACACTTTAATCTAGTAAGTCGTATGTCTCATAGACAATCCAGTGGTGTTAATTTTGAGCCTTTAATCTAATGTCTATACTCACAAAGAATTTTTGAGTAACCTTTCTTTCATAATCAAAGTGGAAAACACCCAATTCTTAGTCATATTCTTTTTGTGGGTTTGGGTGGGGTCTTGGTTTGGGAGAGGTATCTCTGAAGGGTTGTACTGCTTTGAATACTATCCTTCTGTTATATGGACTACAGATCCTTTGAATCTTTTTCTTATGCACCCCTTACATATGGTAGGCAGACTATAGATTTTTTTTCTTATTGCCCTTGACTATTTTGTCTCCTTTTGTGAATGCTGACAATATGTTTATAAAGTAGTTGTTACCTTGAAGGGTGTTACTAATGCTTATCTTCTGTTGATCTGTGTCTGAGTTTAAATTGTATAGCATTGATTATTCTCAAATAGTCTTCATCTGACCATTAATAATCTCAACATAGCCTACCCGACTATGGAGCATTGTTCAACAAAAAATCTTCTGCAAAACACCTTGCAAACTACTTTTGACATTCATAGTAATTTCTCTTGCACAATTATTTTTTGCATTTGAGTCAAATCTTTGTCATAGTGTTATCTTTATTTTAAGAAAATAAAAAATATGCAAATCATGACAATTTTTTCTTTTTTTAAATAAACTGATATGATGCCTGTCACAATACAATGAAAAGTGATTTTTTAAAATAAAGTTAATTAAAATTAAATACTCATACCATCTAATGACAAAATCATACTGATACTAATATTTCTTCCTTTTCTGATAAGATCCACTGTAAAATTCCCAAAGCTATTTCTAGTTAACAAAATGTCTGACAAACCCCAAAGTTGATAAATGAAGTTTTCAACAAAATTTTCAAATCCTGATTTTGTTAAAAGATTGACAGGTTTGTGGTGGGGAGAGAATAGATTTACAGTGGTAGATGAAAAACCAGACAAATCTTTACCTGTTGCACTTTATTAAAACGATGTATTTCATCAATAAAAAGAATGGTTTTCATCTTGAATATTTTCATGTCATTTTTAGCTGCTTCAGCCACTTTCTTCACATCATTGACACCAGAGTTGGTTGCTGATAATAAGGTGAATTTTGTCAAGGCATTCTCCTTGCAGTGTTTGGCAATCATCTTAGCAAGAGTTGTCTGTAATAAAGAAAAAAAAAAGAAATTTTTTTTAAGTAAGCCAACTATAAATTTCTAGTTTTGTAGTTAATGAATATTCTACAAGTACTACACTAGTGTAGATTATATGTAGGGTTTTTTTAATATATGACTAAAACTTACTAAATAGAATCAGCTACAGTTTAATATTTTAATTATTTACCATTTGTAAGAATGAAAAAGTATTAGATATGATTTTGTTCAATCAGCAATGATGTGGCTCTGTGATACTGTGTATGAGAAGGCTTGGTAGCATTCCTTTAGCTTTCTTCTCCTCATAGTAGCAGCAAGGAAAATGGGTAGTAAATAACAAGTAATAAATTAGTGCCCTTTAAAGGAATGCAAAAAAGAACAAGGTTATTGTGAAGAGTTTTCTACCTATGTCTTTACCACTTTCTCAACTGTACTACACAACACTAGCGCCATCTTCAGAGTTCCTCTGCCCACTAGCAAGCAATGTTTATATATTAAGCAGCAGGTACTTGGATGTACACTTTATTTTCAACCCAGCTTTGGAGCTCTTTCTTTCTTGCCTCTTCCAGTACCAGGTCATCTTTAGAGGAGGAAATCATTATATTTTCCTTGTCACAAGAAGTGTGTTCAGTTTCCTCAACCTCACTTGTTTGCCACTCTGATACACCAGGCTCAAAGTCCAGCCAAAAAGGTTCACCCTGTTCCATAACCACATTCATCAAATGCTTGTTTTTGCCTGTTGCTTTGCCTGCCCTACTTATGACATTTAATTTTTTCCATTCTGGATATGTGTCATCGGCAAGCTTGCATTTAATAGTTTGTCCTGGTTTAGGAAGCTCAATTTTCTGCTTATGTTGTCTATCTCTTGCTTCTACAGTCTGATGTTGCTCGACATTGTTGTTTGTGGTTCCCAAATCTTCATTCATATCAAACTCTTCAGAAATTGGTACTTCTGGAGATTCTTCAAGCCTTTTCTGTGAGGTACTAGGTTCCTTGATGCTGTCCTTGGAAGAACTTCGATATGTCTCAGGGTAGGGTGTTAAGCGAAATGGATGTACCCTTACATATGTGCCACCATGTTTGACAAGCACCCTATAACAGTTCCTGGACCAAGCCATCTATCACACAGGTTTCTTTTATAAAGGATGGCATCGCCATTTTTGTAGGATTGTGCTATACCTGTTCTAACTTGGTGACGAAGTGCACATCTTAGTTTCTCCAAGGACTCACATGCTATGAATTGTTTCCTGGCAGCATGCATAGCATTTAGGTTATCTGCAAAAAATTCACTGGTGGAAACACCTTCTAATGCAGGAAGTTTGTCATTTAGAAAAGCAGGTAGGTTGGGATTTTTGCCAAAAACAAGTTGATTGGGACTGTAGCCATGAACACTGTGAAGTGTGTTTTGGCACTTATGGCCCATGCAAATGCTACCTTGAAACTACAGTTGGTATCTTCTATGGTTTTCTTTACCATTTCTCCCAATATCCCATTGTGTCTTTCATTTAACCCATTGCTCCAAGGACTTTCAGCAGCAGTGGTACGTACATTTAAATTTTGTGCAATATCTCTAAATGACTGGTTATTAAACTCTCTGCCATTGTCAGTGAGAATAAATCCCGGAGTTCCAAAATACGCAACACAGTGCTTGAAGATGGCATTAATGATGTCAGAACTTTCCTTACTAGGAATCCTGACTCCAATACTGTATCTTGTACCATGGTCAATTAGGTGCAGTACCTTGTTGCCGTTAATTTCTTTGATGTCCATGGCAATGCTCTCATTGAAATAGGTTCCTAATGAGAATCCAACAATGGGTATAGGTTCAGCCTTTTTGTACCTCATGCAACTTTCACATGAATTAGGAAGTTCTTGTAGAATTTTAATAAATTCAGAATCTCTCATTCCAGCATTTCTCACATAGCTTTTTGCTGCTGGGGTGACTGAATTGTCTATGCAACTTTGTGGCAATTTTAATTTTCTCTAGTTTATTTTTACTAGCAATTTCTTTAATAAATAAAATTTGCTTGAACTTACATCAGTCTGGTAGAGGTCTGCTAATAGGGATGTGGTAGTGACCAGATGAAGTACACTGCATTGGGACTTTTCTCCCCAGCATGGTAACAGTGTCATTCTCAAAATTGAGGCATGTCCTGGCTTTTTTCATGGAATTTTTGCTTAACAGAAGTGGTATGTCAGAGTCCACAATGTCAGTTACAATACTGACTTCAACATCGGCAATGAAACGTGATGATCGAAGCAGATAAGAAAACCATCAATTGAATCAGTGCTCTGTCGTGTGTATCGCTCAAAGGATTCATACGCTGTAAAAGCCGCCTGGTTTGCGTCTTCCAAGAAAAGTGTGTCCAGTTTTTGGTATAACTTTTCCATGCCATCATCGGCATTTAGGGTGGCAATGTCCAATTCTAGTACAGCTTCCCTGGCCTTTCCTTCCAAGGATAGAAGTACCACTGGGGCGTGTCTATGTATCTCTAAGCTGGTGGCAAGTTCCCACACTTGCATTTCTTTTTTCCAAGTATTGTACTTGTCCGTGTTTAAGGCAGGTGGGGAAATAAACTTAGAAGCCATATTTTTTTTGATCTAAACACTCTGCTATCAATGTGAATTAAATAAATGACTCCAACAAGACTTGTGTGTGGAGAGAGAACTTATTTAGCAACTTTCCAACACCACGTGGTGGTAACCAACTGTTCCTACCCCTGCGTTTCCGCCTCAATCATACGTCACTCGTAGAGAAGGTACAAGGGGAACAACTTCACATTGATTAACAGTCAGTATGAGGACCAATGGGGACTCTTAGTTTGTGCTGCTTGTGTGGCTGCTGCCACTACCACTGTCAGTTCCAGCATGTTATCATTTAGGATTGCCTGTGTATGTGCAAGCATCTGATCAATGAACAGCATGTCCATTCTCGATGACACACGAAGGAGTTGCTTGACCTGGGCTGGTAGTCCAATCACAAATGTGCACCTGAGTGTGCAGTCACTCACCACTCCAAACAACACTGAGATTCTGTAGCTCTGCCAGATAAACATTGACAGATTCATCATGTTGCATCCAACACACTATAAATTGCTCATATGCTGCAAACTTGTCCGTCGCAAAGCCCACATATAAGGCTGTCTTTATTTTGTCTGCATCCACCTTCTCCTCGGCTCTCAATTGCTGGTAGATGGCAAATGCACCACCCCATCAGTCTCAAGGTAAAGACATGTCCTAGACACTTCATATTGAACAGTCTGTAGACAAGCTCCACCTTTTCCATCCATCTGACCAACGATCCAGCACTGTCAAACAGGAGAATAAGCCTCAGATTGAAACTGCCGTCCATCTCAAATGCCGAAATAGCTTGTAAAGAATCTTCTGCCTATGTCTTCTTTGCCACTTTCTCAACTGTACTACACACCACTAGTATCATCTTCAGAGTTCCCTCTGCTTGTTAGCAAGCAATGTAACTGCTTATATAGTAAGCGGCAAGTGTTAATGTAATGTCCATTTCATAAAATGATGGTTGTTGCGCACGCACAGACGCAGACACGCACACACCCGTAGGCCTCAAACTAGATTTCCTGCTACAGCTGCGACAACTTGAACACGCTTCTTACTACGTAAACCATTCTCTGCATTACTACAGTTATAACAATGCTAAAATACAAACTTATTTCACATATTATATACAACAGGTCACATTTGAAAAGAAAATGTGTATATGCATAAATGGGATTTTGCTGTTAAACTTTGTATGACTTGATTCAAATCCAGACTCAAAATGATTGCAAAATACTTCCCCCTCCCCAATTTATAGATAAAACACACAGATGCATGCTGGGATTTCTTCAAAGCCAATAAGATTGGTCACTTCTCAGTCTCATCTGACTTAGTTCTGTTCTTTCTTGTCTTGAAGTCAAAATGCTATGATCACTTGTTTATCCCCTTTTGTGCATTAACACCATTCTTAGTTTGTGAATTTTTTTGTCTTAGTGATTGTAGAGTAGTACATCAGACATATTATATGGAGTGATATTCTTTGACACAACACTAGTAGCCTCCCAACAATACTGGACTAACCCATCCACATGCAAGGCTCTAGCAGCAGGTAAAATGACACCAATATAAGTAAGTCACTACAGAGCAGTAAGAAAGCATCTCTTGACTGGCAAACACTTTACAACCATCACTCAGACACTTTATATGGATGATAGGAGTTTTTGTATAAGACTACAGAAAATTACCAACGTTTAAAATTCACAACATGGAGACCAGCAGTATTTACAGCGCATGCAACAACTTGATGAGTTACAAAAAGAAAATATTGCACTCTGAACTCAACTGACAGTGACTAGGCGATATTTATCAATACATGGAACTATTATAAAGAAATGTGCAAGCTGATGGACCTGGCAGTTATATGGAATGAGCTGAGAACAGCATGCACCCCTGAGGTGAACAGACCTGGTAGGAGCCAAGACACTCAACTCTGCCACAGAAGGACAGCTGTTACAACAAGACTCGTCATGGTCAGAGGGCTGCATAAAGAGGTACACAGTCAAAACTTCTACTCTATGAGGCAGAAAGTGTGTGAATCAATTACACACTTTCCAGCTTATTCATGATCCCTGGCCAAATTTTGCAAGTTTTCAGTAACTTGTTCAAACAAAACAAACTGTGGTTGGCAAGTAAACTATCCCAGCGACATAGTGGCAGGACTTACAATGTCAAACACCAGAGCAAAATAAAGGCAGAAGCCACGACCCTCACAACACTAGAGCAGAAGTTTGACAGGCTAGTCAGTTTAGAAACCACAGATGAGTTGATACCCCCATTTCTATAACACCATGCACCCTGTCAAATTATCTAACATGCAGAGGTTGAAAGCCAAGACAAGTTGGGGCAACTAATAAAGATGCAGCACAATTCCAATGTTGATCCCCAAATTTTAATTCCAGAAGATGGTGACATTTCTTCAACCTACAAGGGAAAAAACTGTA